GATGAGTTACATTGTTTCAAAACAAAGGCAAAAGAGTTAACCTGAAACGAAAGTAAAGGGCAATATAAAATGTTATGCAAACAAAGGAAATAATAAACATCAATAAGAATAAATAATAATGATGAAACTTATCCAGTGCCTCAATTTTAATAGGTTTGAGAATTCCATCCTTCTCCAGATAGCTTACTTGCATTGTCCGGATACCTCGTGGATGATAATTTTTATAAAGGCTCCATATTCAGATGCGTTCGATAACCTCTTTCCTCTAAGTGAGAACCGTTCATCAGAGAAACTGTAAGTCTAGCTCATTAATGTCTGCTTGCATAACATCTTTCTCTCTGTTAGTCTGTTTTCTACAAGATAGTTTCCACATTACAAAATAGCGCCCTATGAAGCATGTCGTAGAACAAACGCAAATAAAGCAAAATGTCTCCTAAGTTGTTTACCATCAGTACACGGAGAATCCGACTCGTCAACGGTTTGAACAAATGGGAACTAAAACTTCCTGACGGTAAGTTCTGTTCAGATTGACCATATACCAATTATCGGGGAAAAAAAAACACTTAACCGAAAGAGACTAGGACCAGTTCGACCTGATCATAATTCCAAGATGGCTTACTAATGGTAAGCACATTTTCCACTAGGATAGTTCGGTTGAACGTTCTGGAATTCTTTTCGAGACACTCCGTTTATTTCGGAAAAAAATTCCGGTTGGCAGCGCCCAAAATTGTCTTCCATTTACATTCTGATCGAAATTCCCAGAATTCATGGTTAAATGGTACATAATTCCAATGTCGCAAAGTAGTGAAGCCTGGTGCTATTTAGCATTGAAAGATATTGAAAAGCTCTTCCCGGCCGAGATTTTTCAACATGTGCAGGAACAGATGTTGTAGGGAGGTTATCGATCCGCAAGCTGCTCCAGGGACAGATGTAGCCGTAGTTAATAATGTTCAAGTCTGTAGATAGCCTGAACAAGCCTCTACTTACCTGGGCATGCGCAACTCATATGTCAAAGCCAGGAGGCGGAAAAACTGCAGATCCACCGTTGTCATCCGGGTCTTCGCATAGGTACCCCACGAGGATGCACCCCGTTCTGCCATCTCGCTTCACGTTGCATTCAAGAGGCTCAAGATTAAACATCTTTTGAAAGGAAAACTGTTTCGCGCACTCTTGGTTGGCTTTGAGCACATTCACGGGAACCTGGAGCCAGTTAGAAAAGGTTCCTTTGTAAGGTACGATTGGAAGGTTACTGAGCTTGCTTTCGATCGTAAAAAGTGCCATGTTGAAATTACCCACAACAATCGCATTTTTTAATATGAGTTTAGAGTAATTTTTAACTAGGTATACAATCATACAATGATACACTAAGGCGGCTTATATTAAGGAATCTTGCATTCTGTTTTAAGCTGCCCTCAAATTCATTGGATTGACTTGTTCAATGTAATGTAATTTGGAATTTTTATTAAAGATTAAAGATTAAAGATTAAATTGCGTGGTGTGTGATTGCATGGTGAAAACTTGAAAATGGACAAGGATATGCGAGGAATAGAAAGAGGGAAATGCGCTTGTGGTGAANTGACATGGAGTTCACTTTAGAAATTTAAAAATGGCCAACGTTAAAGGCAAAAGCCTACGTTAATGAACCCTTTGCGCGATCTTGGTTGTAAGCAAAGAGTAATTAAATGGTTTTAACTAATCCTCGCTCTCGTGTTCGGGCAAGATATTCTAAAATTTTCAGTAATAGCAGTTTACTTACCTGGCTATTTTCAACTTTGATCTCTTTAATGTCAATGCTGTGCTTTATCGAAGGACATTGTAAAGTTACGTCATCTCCATCTTCTGAGTAAGCTACAATAAAACACAGTGATAAAAACAAAAACGCATGCAACGCGCGAGTGAACTAAAAAATGTCTTGGCGTAAAACCGCACACTAATGTTAAAATCTCCTTTTATTTCCTTCCTTCCTTCCTTCCTTCCTTGCTTCCTTCCTTGCTTCCTTCCTTGCTTCCTTACTTACTTACTTCCTTGCTTCCTTCCTTTCTACACAGTGTGTCTGTTCGCATATTGCGCTTCTGTAAAGTCGGTCGGTCGTGGGGAGATTTGGTTACTTACCCGTATCAAAATCATTGTTGTCGGCGAAGCAATCGTAACTGATGGCTAGTTTGGCCCCGGAGTGGAGGTGAACATTAAGATCTTTTAGATATAAATCACATTTCCGCATCTCATTTTCCTGCTGCTGTCTGCATTCTTGGTCAGCAGCGGTTTCTATCCCAGGGTATGTATTTTCTGCTGGAGTCCACTGACCACAGGGACTAAGGTAGCTTACTCCACCGACCTTGATTACACTTGCAAAGGGGCAAGAACATTGTAAATGAATCGGCAGGTGAGCAGACTTGACTGGGAAGAAAAATAACAACAACTGGAAAAATAAAACTAAACAGTAGTACGCCATTGCTATTTGTAAAAGTTGACTTCCTGTTCACTACTTGTGGTGGTTCACTATAAGAATACTGTGAGAGTGGTATCGTTACATGAACCGTTTGTCAAGTGTATCTTGCAAAGGATTAAAATTGAATTGTATCAATTTTTCACTAAATACAACTACGCTTTTTCAGTCAAGAAATGGCTTCCATCGACTCGAATCTGATTTAACTTCGTACAAAAGTCAAATGTTTCTGCCCGAGTCCTTCGAGGCTAAACTACAGAATACAGGGCCACTAGTTATCATCAACCAAACGAGCCTGCTCGTTTGCTCCTTTGTCATCCACTGCCGAGCCATACGAGCCACTAAATATATAGATCTAGGACTTAATGCATATGTATAGATTATTTCTCGTTCTTTTCTCCACTGCCGAGCAAACGAGCCACTAAATATATTCAGCTTCAAAAGTGGCCCTGTATTGTGCGGTTGTTCCGGAGTCAAAAGACTTATGCACTGTACTATCAAAAAAAAAAAAAAAGAATTATAGATTTCCTTGTCCTTGATAATCAAGTGGCCTTTCTGACAGTCCGACTTAACGTGAGAAATACACATAGATACGATATAATGAAGACGGATGCGTCAAAGAAGGAAACTCACCATACTTGAAGGCATTGGTATCGAGTGGCAGGCCACTTAACAGGCTTGTAGCAACGAGAATGTATACAAGTGCCATCGAAAAGTTGCGTTTCGCTCTAAATATAAAGATAAAAAGTAACTATTAGTACTGTGGTTTATTTAACTGATTTCTGATCTCCCATTGACTTAAACCTCTCTCTTTAACAAACGCCTCCTGAAATGATGATTATAAAGCTGTTACATATCATTGACCGACAGGAGTTCTGAAAGGACGTTTCAATAAGAGTGAT